CTCCAGGGGGCCTCAGAGGGCAGGAGGTTTTCCTGAAGCGTCCATGCACTCAGGATATCCTAAGGGAGGAAAAGCAGCACACCTGCACTTTCAAAGCCATGTCCTGTGCGTGTGTGTATATAATTATAAAATAAAGCACAAGATATCAAAGAAACTTTTCTGTTTCTGTGTGCGGTTCGGCATATGCTTCAAGGTCTCTTCTGTAATTTGGGATTTGGGAAGGGAAAATCTAAGAAATGCTAACACGATGGAAAGCATTTGGGTGCTAAGGGCAGCCAAACTTAAATTCACATATAACCTCCACCAACAACTACTTGTGTAAACATGAGCAAACTGGCCTGTTTCCTCTTCTATAAATCGGGAAGAAAGTACAAAACTGGCAGGGGAAGGGCAAGGTAGAGTGGGGTGACACTCAGCTGTGGGTTCAGATGCCTCTCCTGCTCCCTTGTGACCTTGGGAGTTCATTTCGATTCTGGGAGCCTCTGTTTCATCCTTTGGAAAAAGGGGCAGTAAGTGAGCTGCCTTGGTGGGGTTTGTCATACATTGCAAATAAAACAAAGCAGGGACAGAGAGCCTCACGCAGAGCCTGGAGCATTGTCCCTGTTTCCCCTTCTGTAACTGCAGGGGGTGGAGCCCTCCCCAAGTCTGTGATTCTAAAGCTGCATCAAAGGCCCTGGAACTGAACCGTCTGGATTCCAACCATCCTGCTCCCCCTGCCGCATTTTCTGTGCCAGGTGGTGGGGCATGGCCGGGTGGAGGTAGAGCACAGGCTGAGAGCCTTGTTTTTCTTCCAGCTGCCCTGGAAGAAGGAGACCTCCTCCCTCTCCCTCCGGATTTGGAACCACTCTAGTCTGTCTCCAAAACAGCTCCTGGCTCCAAGTGCTGAGTCTCCTCTGGGGCTGCAGACCTCACTGCCCCAGTTCTGAGAACGCCTTTCCTCCTTGTGGGTCCCAGTGCTGCGCCCCCACTCTGCGCTGGCTAGGGTGTGGTAGCCAGCCGCGGCCATGGGGTCCCCTTTTGGGCCAAAGTGGCTCGGTGAAGCCTGGGGAACAGCTCAGTGGTACAGCACTGGCTGAGTAGGCAAGACCCTGGGTTCTTTCTGCAGCACCGCCAAGAAAAAAGTCTTCATTTGTTATGGTGCGGGGTGGGGAACGACGACGGATACTCCCTCTCTATTTCACCTGGATTTCTCTTTCCTGCTGGCTGAGCTCTTCGCAGGATTCTCTCTGCCTCCTTCCTACCTGCTTCCTTCTTCCCTCCTTCCTGCCTTGAAAATGCACTTCCTACTGTGGGAGGCCCAGGTGTGCTGCAGCTCCAGTGATGCCAGTTTCCATCTCCCAAGTAGAAAAGCGAAAGAGACCGGGAGTGTGCAGATCGCAGCTTTCCGAAAGCACCTCTCCCTCATCCAGGACTCCCACGACGCTTGCCACACCTGCCCACCACCTAGGTATGCAACCGGTGGGAGCAAGGAGAGCATGAGAAATGCAACAAACGCAGGGGAAGCGCAACTTCAAACCCCTAGCACCACCCGCACACCCCCACCTCTCCCACAACTTTACCTGCGCCCTCTCCACCCCTTTATTAAATGTAGCCCGTGAGCAGCCTTCCCCAGCGGGTCAGGGAGACATGCGCTCCTTCCGGCTCCCTCAGCCAGGGGGAAAGCCAGCAAGGTCACCTGCTGCCTTTCTTGGCTCACCTCTTGGCAAACTGAAGGGAGGACAGGTAAAGGGCAGTGAGAGGCTTTCTGCTCTGCGTCTCTGGCCCGGCAGGCATGGAAAGCTGCCTGTCTCGTGGGAGCTCTCCCGGACCCTGCTGATACAGGAGGTGAAATGTGACAACATTGTATCTCCCAACCTGTGAGATGTCTGGTATGATGTCTGTGTTTCTCTAAAACCACAGGATGAAGGGCCGGGAATTTAGCTCAGTAATTCCCGCCGCCTGCCTTGCAAGCAGAAGGACCTGAGTTCAATTTCCGGTACTACAAAAATAAATAAATGAAGAAGAAAAACAAGAAGAAAATTGAAGGATGAATTCCAGGAACAATGGAGGTTTAAGAGGAGGGAAATATTTATTGATAGCGTAGCTTCTGAGAGGCAGGAGGGGTCCCCAGTGGGTAGCCAGGGACCCCAATGTTACAGGGGAGTTTTACAGAGCAATCCCACACGGGTGCAGTGTGGGTACAGCTATGATTAACCAATGAGGTTACGAGTATAGTCGTGCAGATAATAGTGAACCAAGTGGGAAACAAGTCGTGCGACAGTGTGCATGGAAAGGACCAAGACTGCTAGGAAACGAGGGGTCTGGAGGTCTTGGTCACCCACCGGGTGGCTGACATCTATCTAGACTTCGTTAAGCCCGCCGTTGGTCTTTCTAGAACGAACGCAGGCCTGGTCCTTTGGTCCTTATCTTGAGGCCTGTGTCTCTGGCCACAGGTGTGATGTGCTTCACCTCTGTCCTGACTCTCCCGCCCTGGCCGACCGCCTGTAACATTTCTATCTTAGCTGTCTGTCCGACCGTGACTGTAACTCCTGTGGCGCAGGCAGTACACACGTGCCTCTCTCTGGCAAGTCCGCATGTCCCTCCTCTGTGGCCCTGTGGTCCCGCTATCTTGGTTAGCATTATCAGGTCCCTCGGTTTCCTTCAGGATCCCTTTGGCCCAGGAAGGCTACAGGCAGTCAGCCCCTTCTCACAGAGCATCAGCGCACCGTCTCTTCCTCCGTCCAGCCTGTCACCCCGGCCCAGGAGGCCCACTGCCTGACCACGCCCCGTCACACACCACACCCCGACAAACCAAACTCCTTGCGGTCACCAATCAAGCTGCTTCTATATCTGTAAATACTTTCTGCCCACGCTAGGAGGAGCTTTTTATATCTCTCTTGGTTCTGAATGCTGCCTTATTTATAAATTGTTATTTGCTCTAATAAACACTAGTAAATGAAAACATACACACATACACACACCCTCACTTCCATCCAAGGTGTCCGTCCTCTTGCTTTTTCACACCTTCTGTGCATATGCTGTATCTGCACACCACACATTTTATGTATTTGTATTTATTACCTTTCTTGGCACTACAATATAAAGCCCAAGAGGGGCTTTGGACTCCCTGCGCCACAGCTGTGTTCTCAAAGACAGCGCTTGGCATTTGGTAGGCCCTAGGTGAATAAATGAACCACTGCGTTCAGGGAGGAAAGGGTACCCACGGTCACACGTGTGTGCGCTATTTGACAGAGGTATTGGAGAAGGGGTATAGAGATATGAAATAGACACTAACCCCAAGTTGAGGCTTTTCCCCCCATGCTTTAACTGGGAGTGAAGAAACTGGAAGGAAGTAAAATAGCTTTGTTACTATAAGATGCAATGGCATTGAAAGCAGTGTCTGGTCCTGAGGCGTCTCTCCCTGGCCGGTGGTTATCTCTATGGCACTTATGAGGACAAGAAAAGGCAAGTGTCTTGATCACAGTCACACCGCTGTTGGCCACAGAGCTCCAAGCTGCTGCAGACCCCTGAGTGACGGGGAAGGGAGGGCATCAGCCTCCTTCCCTGCCTGCCTTCCCACAGGCAGCCCCAAAGCGCAGGCAGCTCCCAGCGCTGGAGGCAAACCAGGGCTGGAAGCAAGCGAAGGCTGAAGACCCAGGAAAGAGAGGTGAGCTGCGGCCCTGAAGCAACCTCCCAGTCCTGCCGCCAGCATCGCAGCTGCCCACCCGCACCCTAGGGTCTCTGACTCCATCGCCAAAGGCTGTGTGGGAGGAGTAAGGCCAGCGACGCTTCTGATGTGGAAGGAAAGAAGACTGGACCCTCGGCATGAGAGCTGGAAGCGAACTTAGGGTCAGACCGTATGGTCCAGCAGTTCTCCAAGTGCGGTCCCCAGACACATTAGCTGCCTCGCAAACCCACTAGGAAAGTAAATTATCCAGTCCCGCCCCAGAACTAACGACTCAGAAATCTGAGGTGAGAGCCAATCATGTTTTTAGGTTATTTTTTTTGGCCTTGCTGGGGATCAAACCCAGGGCCACAGGCACGCTAGGCAGCGCTCTACACCTCCAGCCCTATTTGTAGTTTAATAAGCCCTCCAGGTAGATCTGATGGATGCTCAAGTCTGACCCTCTGCTGCAGCCCAGCTCCTTGTGGTCCAGATGGGTAAACCCAGGGAGGACTAGCACTTCTGGCCTCAGCCCCATGGCAGGAATGAGCGCTCTCCTCCCTGGCTTCATTCTAGGGGGAAACGATGCTGAGTGAAAAGCAACAGAGTTTGTTGAGAGGTCCTAGGCAAGTCCCTTGTTTCTGTGTGGGGCCTCAGTTCTGTGTCTGTGCAGTGCAGGGGCAGGGAAGAGATTGTCTCAGTACACAACACACAGATCTTAGAGGGACTGTGCTCCTGCTGCCACCAGCCTTAAGGACTCGGTCTAGCCTGGGACCAGAGAGCACACGCTCAGATCCAGATGGCCCAGATCCAACCCCCGGCCGTGCCCCCTGCTAAGTGCATGTGTCACACCCACTGCTCACCTTCCAGAGTCTCCGTGCTTCTCGCAGGGGTGGTTTACCCTCCCTAGGTCTCTGAATACTGCCTTCTTCTCCATACCTGAGTCTCCACGAGAAGCAGCCTAGGTACAAATCATTACCTATAATTCAAGTCCTTCTACCCTTGTAACTCTCAGTTCACACCACATGTCTGACTGAAATCACAGGTCATTTCTCTCCCAGAGCTCCTCCCAGTCATCAGCACCGGGACAGGGAGCTCTGCTCCGTTCCAACCACTTGAGAAGATGACAGTCTGGTGATGACTGTCCCACCCCCTGGAGCACTCCAGTGTCCTCTGGGTAGGACTCAGTTCATCCTGATACCTCCCCAAGACGTGACGCACTGTCGAGCCGTCTGTACGTGGTGCAGGAAAGAGCAAGGGTCAGAAACACAATGGAGCTGCCCCATCCGCCACCTCCTCCTCCTTCTCCTCCTCCCCATGGCCACACTCACCTGCCACAGCTCTCTTGCTCCCACAGGTGACCACGATGATCCCCTGGGTGCTGCTGGCCTGTGCCCTCCCCTGTGCCGCGGACCCGATGCTTGCTGCCCTCACTCGCAGAGAGTTCCAGAAGGGCTCCCCTCAACTGGTCTGCAGCCTGCCTGGCCCCCAGGGACCCCCAGGCCCTCCAGGAGCCCCAGGGCCCTCAGGAACGGTGGGAAGAATGGGTTTTCCTGGCAAAGATGGCCAGGATGGCCAAGACGGGGACCGGGGTGACATCGGTGAGGAAGGTAAGAAGCCCGCACTGACCCTCCTGTCCCCACCTGTGGTCGACAGCATCCAGCCCGGGGGGCTTATGTAGCTGCTAAAGTCCTATTAATCCCTTCCTTTGTTAACTAAATTTACTGACTCTTTATAAACAGGACAATATATTCCAAAAGGAAAAGAGGGTATCAAATCTCATGCTCCTGTCTCTGCTGCACCTCTGAATTCTAAGTGACTGAGCAAATCTCCTGAAATATTATTCAGAACTCCTTTGGCTGCAAGTGACAGAAACCCAATTTATAACCTCACATGGAACTTACTGGAGCTGAGCTTCAGGAATGGCTAAGGGAAGGAGTTTAAATATCACTGTCAGGGTTCTGCTTCTCTGTGTGTTCGCTTCCTCTTCTCAGAGCCTGGGGGTTCTTAAATGGTCAGGTGGGTTCCAGACCATATCCAGACAGCACATCCCAAATGCCTGACTCTCCTGGGCCACACCTGCATGCGGCATATGTGTACTTTGATCACAGAGATGAAATGCCACCATTTTCCAGGCCTGGGTCATGCGCCACCCCTGAGTTTTTGTGAGTGGGTGGTCAGGGCAATTGGTCATGTGACTGATGGCCTCACTGGGACCCCCTAAAGTAGAGAAATAGTTCCCCAAGAAAGGGTGCCAGGCAAAACAGATTGGATAAGGTAGATAGGCCCTTTCAGGTTTATGCTTCTCATAATTCTGAATGTTTACACCAGAATTTTAGTGTTTAACTTTCCCAAATGTCCATTTTAATCAATAGGGAAATTAAATATTAAATATGGTGCTGGGGATTGAACCTAGGACCTTACACAGACATGCGAAGCTTGTGCTTTACCACTGAGCTACACCTGCAGCCTTAATGGTACCTCTTACTTGCACGGCATTACTTGCATGGCATTATATAACACTGCCAAAGCATTTTTCAGTAAGTTGCTCCTCTGATCGGGTTTTGGGTTTGTTTTCATTTTGTACTGGGGATCGAACCTGGGACCTTGTGCTTGCAGGACAGGTGGAACCCCTGAGCTAAATCCCCGGCCCTCATCTGACTGTTAAAATCATCCTGAAAGGAGATTTTACCAGCCCATGTCACAAATGAGGAAGCTGAGTGTCGACACTGATTGACAACAGCCTGTCTCAGCTACAAGAACTTCAACTTCGGGAACAAACTCGGATACTGATTTTGGCGAATGCCTTCCCCTCCCTCCCAGCCTGTTTCCTCATCTCTGGCCAGGGCTAACAACAGCATCCGCCTCCCTGGGCTGAGGAGAAGGGGAAGCGGGTTACCGTGAGAAACACCAGTCTCCGAGTGGGCACGGTACACGTCAGTCACCGCTCGGTTGAATTCCTGAGCCTCAGGTCCAGGTTTCTTCCTGCCGCACCAAGCTAGCGCTTCCGAGTACCTCCTTCCCAGAAGCCCTGAGAGGAGAGACGGTGGCTGGGACTCAAGGTCTTGCCAGGCGCTGGGTGCTGCAGCGCTCCATTCCCGACCAGCGCGGGGGGCTGCGACGGGATCAGCTTAACATCCGACTGTCACCTGTCTGTGGCTGCCACAGGACAGCGTCTGCGGTGGCCGCTTTCCGGGTGATCGGGACAGAGGAGAGTGCAGGCTTGGGCTGCCTTTGGCCATTCTTCCTGCCACGCCATGAGGCCCTGCCGGGGAAGGCGTGCTGGGACACAGAGAGGCACACAGCAAAGCCATCTGCAGAGAGGTCCTGAGAAGTAAATTCAGTGTTTCCTAAAGAGTCTTAAAAGGGAGTCAAAAAAGAAGCACAAGCAAGCCGGGGATTTGGCTCAGTGGTTCCACCACATGCCTCACAAGCACAAGCACCCGAGTTCCATCCCCAGTACCAAAAAAAAAAAAACCAGTTGGAGGAGAGGTGGACCATGGCTCTTTGCCCAGGGCAGACAGAGTGAGGCAGAAAGGCAGAGCAGAAGGGAGCTGCTCCTGTCACAGCGGTCCGGAGAGGCAGCACAAGGGAAGGGCCTGGCAGCTCACAGCGCAGTGACCCCTTCGCTCCAGCTGGTCCGCCTCCGAGAGCACTTCTAGCTCGGAACTCACCAGTGGATGAACCCACAATGAGAATCGCGCCTCAACAAGTAATCATCTTCCAAAAGCCCCGCCGCTGAGCACATGAGGCTCCGGAGACTGGCTAGATCCACACTAGAACGACCACGCAATTCGAGTGGCTGTCGCCAACAGCTGCCTCGTGTCCAGGGACGCTAGGAGGCCCAGCAGCAGCAGGGACCCTCAGAAGCAGCTCGCTCAAACCTCTACACGCAATTCCGCCTTTCTGCCAGGGTGACTGTTCAGCTCTAACTCAGGCTTTTGTTCGTCTTTTAAAAGCAGGTTGTATCGAGCAATCATAAATATAAATGTTTCCAATATAATCAAGGGCCCAAAACGTAGTGGTGAGAGAAACATATATTTTGTAAAATATTAATATTAAAAAAACAAGAGATGCCCTGCAGAAAACCACTGCTGGGGCAAAAGGCCTGCAGGTATGAAACTCACATTTAGCTGGAATTGCCCCAAGCCAGGCATCATCCTATGAACCTATGGGTATAGAACAGGGCCGGAGATTTAGCTCAGTGATTACTACCTACCTCACAAGCAGAAGAATCTGAGTCCAATCCCTGGTACTAGAAAAAAAGAAATTCTAGTTCCGATAAATGGGTACAGCACTTTTAGCACTGTGGCTTCCCTTTATTAAACGTCCTGCCCTCTGGCCTTTCGTCTTAGCATATTCTAGGGACAGTTTCAGATAGGACTCATAAGTATAACTCAGTTTTTAAACAGCAAAATAGAATTGCACAGTATGGATGAGTCATAATTTGCTAATCATTTCCTTGGGGATGGGCATTTGTTTCTATTTTTTTCTGCTATTATCAGCAATGCTACAATAAAACCTGTGTGTGTGTGTGTGTGTGTGTGTGTGTGTGTGTGTATGCGCACACACACAGGGCCCCTGCACTAGGCAGAGATTTGACTAACATCAGGTTTTGAGGCCAAGAGGCTTCTTCTAGTTATCTTCTCAACGCATGGCCAAGACAGCACACAAAAGGACTGATCTAGCAGACAAACCAGGCTCTTCCTTAGGAGCAGGAAAAGAAAAGAATGTGAATTGCTGTGTTATTTTTTTCCCTGATCCACAGTGGTTCTGGAAGGCATTACCATAAGACCAGGAAAAGTACCCCAAGTTATACCATCAGGATTTGCCCCATTTCTATTTCTTTGCCTCCTCTCTCTGTCTCTGCCTCTGTCCGTCTCTCTCCTTTCCTCTTTCTTTCTCTCTGCTCCCTGCTCAGCCTCCTGAGTGCTGCGATTTCAGACCTACGGCCACCACTCCCCGCTAAGACATACTCCATTTTTCAGTATTCCAAAGCCCTCTTGTTCTTCCCGTTTCCCATGGACTCCTACTACAAGGGGAAAAGCCAAGGCCCACAGCTTCTGCCTGGGCCCGTGAGGGACCCTCCGTAACTCCTGCTGCTCTGTCTTTCAGGTCCACCTGGCCGGACAGGTAACCGGGGAAAGCAAGGACCAAAGGGCAAGGCTGGGGCCGTTGGTCTGGCCGGCCCTCGTGGTCCCAAGGGGGTCAGTGGGACCCCTGGCAAACACGGCACACCAGGCAAGAAGGGGCCCAAGGGCAAGAAGGGGGAGCCAGGCCTGCCGGGCCCCTGCAGCTGTGGCAATGCCCGGGCCAAGTCGGCTTTCTCAGTGGCAGTGACCAAGAGCTACCCTCGGGAGAGAATGCCCATCAAGTTTGACAAGATCCTGATGAATGAGGGCGGCCACTACAACTCGTCCAGTGGCAAGTTCATCTGCGGCGTGCCCGGGGTCTACTACTTCACCTACGACATCACACTGGCCAACAAGCACCTGGCCATCGGCCTCGTGCACAACGGCCAGTACCGCATACGGACCTTTGACGCCAACACCGGCAACCACGACGTGGCCTCCGGCTCCACCATCCTGGCCCTCAAGCAGGGCGATGAGGTGTGGCTGCAGATCTTCTACTCGGAGCAGAATGGGCTCTTCTACGACCCCTACTGGACTGACAGCCTCTTCACAGGCTTCCTCATCTACGCCGACCAGGACAACCGCAATGAGCTATAGACTGGCCCATGGGCCCTCCGGGCAGGGACCAGACTTCTAGACTTGCACTTACAGAGCAAGACCCTGAAACTGTCGCTGGGGCTGAGTCTCAGAAGCTTCCACCCTCAGGCTAACCTCCTTTGCTGCTTTAAATTTTTTTTCCCATCAATAAATCCAAGTGTTTTTATTCATCTGTTTAGCTGTCCACTCACTCAGTATCTGCAGTATAGCAGGCATTGTGCGACACCTGTCTGCAAAATGGGTTCTTATCTGCACGGGGCTTGCATACCAGTGGGAGAGACAGTTGACAAACAGCCAGCACAGTGCCAGGGCAGAACCGATGTGCTGTGGCTGACAGTAGTAGAAATAACGGAGACAGGGAAGAGGCTAACATTTTTCTAAGAGTTCATTTTTTTTTTAAGTTTATCTATATAGAGTCCACAACTTTTGAATAGACAGCTTAACGAAAGTGTACTTATGTGAACACCTCGTAACCACCCAGCAAATCAAGAACCAGCCTCTGTCCTCCTCTCCCAAGGCACTCAGGCTCCTCCAGGTCCTTACACTGCTCTCGTACTCACACTCGAGTTATATCCTGAAAAACCCACTGTAAGCTGAACAGGCCACACGCCAAACACACCCAGCCTACAGAGTGTCCATCATACCTTAGCAACACAGCACACCGTACAGTATAAGTTGTTCACCCTCTGCCACTGGACAGCTACAGGTTGAAAGATTGAAATTCAAAGGACAGTTGCTACTGCAGGAAAATTTCTTTTTTGTTATTGTTGTTACCGGGAATCAAACTCAGGACCTTGAGATTGCCAGACAGGCATGGCACCACTGAGCTAAATCCTCAGCCCTGCATATCGTACCAGCATAAAGAAGAAAAGTCTGGAGCCATCTGTATCAAAAGGAGAATTTTTTTTTTTTCTAGTACCAGGGATCAAACTCAGAACCTTGGGCTTGAGAGGCAGATGCAACACCACTGAGCTAAATGCCCAGCCCAAGATGTACTTTTAAATTGATCCTCAAAGCAGAACACAGAGCAGTAGCAAAGCACTGGGAGGAGGCGTCCTCCAGCAAATGAGCTGTAAGGATAAGGGCCTCAGTGTGAGGAACGCGTGGGCGCATTTGAGGAACTGACTGAAGGCCGGAGGACGGGGAGGGAGAAGGGAGGGGTGACACTGGAAGCTCCATCATGCGGGTCCGGCCATGGTCAAGGGTTGTTCCCTCTAGAGAGCTTATCAGGGTGTAGGAACGAGCAAGGGACCAGTACAAGGGTAACCTTGAACCTGCCCAGAGCAGCCACGTCGGCCACAGACCTGAGCTTTTTACCGGTAGCTACAAATCACTTGCCAGCCCACTTCTCCGGAATGAGATGGACAAGGACACCCACAGATTCCCGAGACCCATTGCTCGCGCACTGCAGGAATGGGGCCCTGAAAATGAACCTCACCTGGTCCAGGCGCTTGCGGGGTGCCAGAATGCGAGGGCCTCCAGAGCCACAGCGGAGCTGAGCAGAGACTGCTGGGGCCTTTGTAATGCCCAGCTCACCGCTGGCTCCCAAGGACCCCTAGTGGGGATCCCCAGGACAAAGACTCACTGAACGGGGTGGTCTGGCCCTACACTAACAGATACAAACAATTGCTTTGTTCCAAAAGAATAATAGGAAACACTGTAGCGACTTGTCTTCCTCCCCACCACCCTAACCACCGGAGCCCCAGATACAGGCATTTTAGAGGCAGCTGACTCAGCCCTTTGCACCTGGGTATAAATCCAGCCTGAGCAAGATGGGGAACGCCCAAAGCGCCGTGGTGGCTGCTTTTTGGCCTGACCCTAAACCCGTGTCTCCTTGGCAAGCTACCAGGGAAGCCTCGGGAGAGTGTTGGGAATCATGGGGTTACCCAGTTCTCTAGAAGGGTGGGGAGGAACAGAGACCTCCCAGAGCCCGGGGCTGGAGTCTTGTCTCCCTTGGAGCGCCAAGTTTCTGCCAGGTGGGGCAGGAGCAGGACATGGAGTACGGGGAACTCGGGTAGGCAGTTGATGGCAAAAAACGAGCTCAGGTTTATCCCCTCACGATTGGAAGAGCAGCTGCTTCCTCAGTGAGCTCCTTGGAGTGCTGAGGCAGATGGCTCCCCAGAGGAGGCCAGGGCCCCAGCTTCTCCTGGCTCCGGCTGCCTTCCTCGGCTCCAGCAACCAGGGCCTGTCTGCAGGGCTTCACGCTTGTAAGCCACGGGGAAGATGCACTAGGTGCATCTCTGCGCCGTAGAATTGTTCTCAATCCAGAGGTCTTTTTTCGGGTAGGGCAGACTTCGGAAGGCAGCCGTTCTTTCTGAAGAAGCACTGGAGAGACTACAGCTCTGGCCATTACAGTGCAAAGAGCTCCAGACCCACAGTGCCCCCAGGGTTCCTGGGCACAGCCCGTTTTAATACAATGTTACAATTAATGCAAAAAAAGATGAAAAGCATCTAATTTTTAAGTAAAGAGGGGATTTTGCAGGGCTGGGATTACGTTGAGGTGAGCAGGTCGTGGAGGTGCCGTCAACTCTCCAGTGCGCTAAAGCCCCGCCAGGAAGAGACTTTTCTCCCTTCCTGCCTGTCAATCTCGGTAGTGCCACTAGAGGGCGAGCTTCTACCACACAAACCTCCAGTCGGGCACGTGGCTGAAAGAGCTACCCGGTGTCTTCTGCGGGCTGTTTTCTAGATTCAGGCCCAAGACCGAGAAAGAAAGAGCCATTACCTTGTTCCGAGAATAAGAAAACACGAGCCTCGCCTCTGCCCAACGTTTCAACATATAGGAGTTTTAAGCCCTCTGTAAATTGCAGGCCCAACTGGGGCAGAGCAAGGAATGCAACGGTTGTCCAGGAAACAAGAATTCTGGGCTCCGCTCCTGCCCTGTCTTCAGATCCCTTGTGTGGCCATGGCCCTGTCATTTAATATGTGGTGGCCTCAGTTTTTCCTGTCTGGAAAATGAAGGGTTGGAGTAGATGATTGTAAGGCAGGCGGCGGAACCACTGAGCCAAATCCCCGGCCCCATTCGGAGCCCATTTTGACCCTAAATATTTATGTTTCTGTCTCTAAAACAGCGGTAGGAAAAGAATGTGAGATTCCTGCAAAGTGACTTAAAATATGGATGGAGCTGGCCAGCCTATTCCGAGAGGTTGAAGTTTCACACCGGCCCCACCCTACCCTTCTCCTGGACCTTTTCAAGAGCTGCTGTTGTTAGGTTTCCTGACTAGAATATAAATAACAGCTAGCGTTATTGAACATCAGCCATGTGCTGCACCTCACGTGTGTGGACGCTTTCTGCTTCCCGACACCCCCAGGAGCAGGTGCACAGATTGCTATCGCTGCTTTACAGGGGGAGAAGTTGGAGTCCTAGAAGGAAGGTGAACCAGGCATGATGGCCCAGGCCTCTAATCCAGGCACTCTGGGGGCCTCCGGCAGAAGGAGAGAAAGTCTGAGCCTTGGCTGACTAACTTAGTGAGGCCCTGACTCAAGAATGCCTCTCAGAGCAAAAGCCTTAGGCTCAATCCCCAGTGCAAGGAAGGAAGGGAGGGAGGAGGGGAGGAGAGAAGAGGAGGGGAGGGGAGGGGAGGGGCCAGGGCCAAAGCCACCTGACTGGTAAACAGCACTGCCACCTAGAAGCTGTTCTGTCAGCTGCAGTGGCCTCCTGCAGCCTTCAGGTCCATCTGGGAGCAGCAGGCACTCCCTGCCACTCTGTTTCCTTGCAGGATGACAGCGAGAGGAATCAGAACTGCCCTGACTTGGAAGCGTTCCTGATTGCTAGGGACGGGCCCCAAATATTTCCCTCCTCCAAAGCCTCCACTCAGCAGATCCCACTAGGCACTGGCTGTGGGGAAGCTGGAAGGCTCCTGTATCCCCGAAACCGGCTGAATCAAAATGCATCTGGTGCCGGGCATGGTGGCACATGCCTGTAATCCCAGCACTTGGGAAGCTGAGGCAGGAGGATCACTGTGAGTTTGAGACCAGCCTGAGCTACATAGTGAGTTCCAGGTCAGTCTCAACTACATAGTGAGACCCTGTCTCAAAAAAACGAAAAAAAAATATATATATATAACATCTGGCACTGCGAGCTACCCTGACCTGCAGAGCAGAATCCCCCAGGGGAAGCCCTCCTCCGGCTTACAAAGTCTGCCCTTTACCCAGATCCCCTGTTGGATCTACAGCAAGGCCAGAGTCGCCAACCCTGGGCCATAGGGTGGCAGGAAACTTGTTCAGGAGAGAACGCGGATGTGCAGTGCCTTTTTGTCCCACCCCCCATTCCCTGGCATCGCTTCCACAACTGTCCCCAGGCCATGTCAACACTGAGAAGGGCACAGTAGGAATGAATTTGAAGCCCACAGGCCCAGCTTGGCACTGCTAATGAGCTTGTGAGACCCCTAGCCGATCCCTCTCCCTGCTTCACGGCAGAGGCCCATGAGGCCTAAAAGAATTTCTGAGAAAAGGCCCAAAGATGCCTCAGCAAATGACTTCTTGGGTTAGGGGGGTGGGTTGAGATTTTTTCATCTGCTTAATAATTTTATCTCAGACTGATCCTGACTGAAAAACAAGAAGAGTCCAGCTTCTTCCCTGGCATAATTTCTTGTAGATGCCCCTGTAGCCACATGAGGCTCTCTCGGCCCTACCCCGCTGGACTTGAAGCTGAGGTTGACAGGGACCGGAAATGGCTTCACAGTGAGAGATGCCTGCACTCCGCTCGGGGCTCCTTGGCCGAAGAAACACACACAAGGTGTGGGCATGGCTGATGGAGATCACAGGCCTCAGAGGCGAAAGGACTTGCAGAGCAGAGCCACCTGCCACAGGGACCAAAGAAGGCTGTACTGAGGGCCCTGCTCCAGGGTGGTCCTGGGGGAGACTGCAGTGATTGCTTTGTGTGCAGTTCTCCCCTAGCAGCCTTTCAAAATTTGTTCCTCCACTGAACCTCGACTATGCAGCAAGCAGGATTCTGAGATGAGCAAAACTCAGATGTGTCTCCGCCCTCCCCGGGCCCAGGGTCTCACACAGGCAACAGCCAATGGATGAATGACCACACGGATAGATGCAGAATGGCAGCGGTGGCTTGACTCCAGGAGGATGTCAGAGGAGGGTCTGTCCGGCAGGGTGTCAGGAAGGACCTTTCTGGGGGAGCGACAGCAGAGCTGA